AAGCTCCCTTATCTGAGGAAAGTCCATCATCAGCTATGGAATCCAGGCTTTAGTTCCACTCTACCCTCCCCTGTCACAAGGGCTCACTCAGTATGGCAGGTTAAAGGGAGATACAATCTGTGTGGACTTTCATTTGTTAGTCAAACCAAGTGATTGGAACAGCCGAGGGGAAGCAAATATCTCTTCCTGGTATCCACTACCATGTAGACAATTGCTAAAGTAAACATTTCCCTATTATAACTGTTTTCATCCAATTTCATGATTGTACCACTTGCAAGTCACATAAGTTCTCCTTCTGTATGTTTTCTGTTCTGCCTTCCTTGATTCTTTTCCCCTTTTCTAGTGAATAGTAATTCTTTCTGAGTGTGATAGAAGGAAAGCTAAAGGGATTTCAAAGATTTAGTTTCAAGTCTTGATGGCTTACTACTATCTTATCACAATGCCACAGCAGAGTAAAATGTGTCTTTTTGAAGCATGTTGTTGTTGTTGTTGTCAGGTGCCATCGAGTCAGAACCGACTCATAGCGACCCCATGCACAGCAGAACAAAACAATGTCCTATCCTGGGCCAACCTCACTACCCCTGCCACACTTGAGCCCAACAATGATGCCACCTGGCTGATCCATCTCGTTGGGGGTCTTCCTCTTTTTCTCTGACCCCTCCACCTTATCCAGCATGACATCCTTCTCCAGCGACTGTTCTCTCCTGATCTGTCCAAAGTATGAGAGACGAAGCTTAGCCATCCTGGCCTCCAAGGAGCACTCTGGCCGCACCTCTTCCAAAACAGATCTATTGGTTCTTTTGGCAGTCCATGGCTCTTTTAGTATTCTCCTCCAACACCACAACTCAAAGGATATACCTGAACTATAGTATATTGCTTCGTTTTCATTCTGATGTTAAGGATCACCTATGTGTTTGAAATAATTACTTGAAAAAGAAAATAAATTATTCTCTTCCTAATCACAGCTAACCACAAGATTCGTGGTTCAAACCTACCAGCTGCTCCTCCAAAATCCTATACAGGGTTGCTATGAGTCAGAACCAACTTGAGGGCAATTTTCTTCTTCTAATTTTCACAAACATGTGTGTAGTAGCTTAGCAATTGTTTGCCAGCTGTTAATGAACTTATTACAATATATAGTTTATTTTTGTTGTCAAACCAGAAAATTAGAGATTGCTTCCTTTTTACCTGGAATGACCTTTCTTCCAAAATATAGTATAATATGTTCCAGTGGGAAATGAGATTAAAAACAATTTAGGTCCTGTCCATTTTTATACACTAACTGGCTATGAAATCTGTCAAGAACTCACTTAATAATTCTGTGCTCCCATTTCTTCTGCTACACGATATAATAATGCCTAAACAATTCATCAGTCTGTTTCTGAAAGGTCACAACCTGGAAAACATATGGAGCACATGTCTACTCTGTACACATGGAATCACCATGAGTAGAGATGTGGCGCTGTGGGCTAATGCACCAGACTGCAAAGCCGTTTAAACTGCAAGGTCGGTGGTTCCAGCTCACCAGCTGCTCCTTGAAAACCCTGTACAGGGTCGCTATAGATCGGAATCGACTCGACAGCACTTAACAACAACATGAGATGGACTTGACAGCAACAAACTATAAACTATTCAATTTCAAAGGCGTTGCTAAAAAGTAGCAAAAACAAGTCGGGAGTACTTTATTAAGAGTTAGTAACCCTTTTTAATAAAGGCTTAACCTTTATTAATTAGTATAGTATATAGGGTTGACACATATGTATATATGTGTATATGTAGAGATAGATTTGGCAGGATTCGGTGTGGTACTGCAGGATCAGCACTGGACTGCAAACCACAAGGTAGGCACTTCAAACTAGTTGCTCCTTGGAAACCCTATATAGGATCTCTATTGGTCATAGCTGACTGGACAGCACTTAACAACAACAAAAGTAGGGTTGGCATGAGTAGGAGGTCACTTAATGGCAACTAATAATTATTACTGTAATGAACACACATTATAAAACATGAAGAAAATACTAATATCAATATTAATAAGGGAATGTTATGGACAAGGCTTAAGAAAACCTGCAAGGGCTAATGTTGTTGAATGCTGTCTAGCTGGCTCCAACTCATAGCGACCCTGTACAGGGTTTCCAAAGCTGTAAATCTCTGTGGGAGTAGAAAGTCTCATCATTCTCCTACAGAGCAGCTAGTGGGCTTCAACCATTAACCTTGTGGTTCACAGTCCACCTCTACCCTGCTGTCAATTTGTCATACTGTAGTGGACTGTGAGTTGCTGTGATTCTGGAAGCTACACCACGGGTATTTTGAATGCCAGCAGGGTCACCCATGGCGGACAGCTTTCAGGTGAGGACACACTAAGAAGGAGGAGAGACAGACTACTTCTGAATATTTAGTCACTGAATACCTTATGAATAGCAGTGGAACACTATGAGCACCAGATTATTGAGTATTGAAACACGATGAAGAACACCAGAATAGTGTCAGATATAGTGACAGGAGATGAGCCCCTCAGGTTGGAAGACACTCAATAGATTGGTCCAGTGGTCACAGTGATGGGCTCAGGCTTAACAATAATTGTGAAGTTGGCCCAAGACTGGGCAGTGTTATGTTCTGCTGTGCATAGTTCACTATGAGTCGGCACTGACTCAATGGAACCTAGGAACAACAACTATCTACCCTACACAGTCAGGTGTTCCCTAAGGGCTAATGCTGCTGTTGTTGTTAAGTGTTGTCGAGTCAGTTCTGACTCATAGCGACCATGTATAGGGTTTCTGAGGAGCAGCTGGTAGGTTTAAACTGCCAACCTTGTGGTTCAAATTGACCTTGCTGTCCAGTGAATTATCCTGCAGGCCACACCAGTACTCCATTATCTTACAGTTGTTGTTGTTATGTGTTATTGAGTCGGTCCCAGCCCATAGCGATCCTGTATAAGGTTTCCAAGGAGCAGCTGGTGAGCTTGAACTGCCGACCTTGCAGACATCTTTGCAGTATAGTGCATTAACCCACAGCACCACACCAGGACTCCAGTAAAATATAATAAAAGTTTGGAACTGTTCTTCTGAATGGGCAATGTGGGAAAACTATTTTTGGAATCTGAAGAGATTAGTTGCATAAATAAGACTGAAACTGGAGAGGGTAGCATGACTACAACCTTTATAGGTGTGCCTCAAGGGCTTCAGTAAAGTACATCTGTTTGTCCTGTATCGTCTTCATTGGAAGCCCAGTTCGGGAGCTGGCTACACCCGGATTCTACTGGCACAATGTGAGAATTCTCTTGTTACATTACAGATGAATTGGGAAATTACAGTTCCTTCGGGATAACGGAAGTCATTACATTATTATCTTTTTTCTAGTATTCAGAAATGCATGTACTAAACATTTTAATGCAGAATGTGTTCCTTTGTCTTGTCTCCCAGCAATGCTGTTACGCTCAGTGGTGCTGTTTCTGGCTGCTCTGCTGCTTTCAGGCTTCCCTGGAAATGGACAGGTATGGGCAAATTTGAAAATCTTTTCAGAAGAATCAAGGAGTCCTGGTGTGGCATTGTAGCATAAGCACTGGACTGCAAGGACCACAAGATCGCCCGTTCAAACCTACCAGCTGCTCCTCAAAAACTCTATACAGGGTCTCTGAGTCTGAAAAACAACTCAATGGCACTTAACAACAACAACAAAGCTACTAGAAGAGTTTTAATGAGTGAAATAATCTAGAGTGTCAGGTATATTACAAAGTATCCATCAGTATCTCAAAGCACTTAAAACAATTATCTGTATAAAAGTATAAAGCTCTACTGGCCAATATAATAGTTACCAGTCACATGAGGCTAGGGAACACTTGAAATGCAGCTAGTACAAATAGATGTGCATAGATACAAAGGTCAATACAGACCAGATTTCAAAACTTATTGCAAAAAAAAAATAAAAATAAAGACATAAAATGTTTCATTCATAATTTTAATATTGAGTATATAATGGATTTTTTATAATTAACTATAATATAGTAGTATTAAATCATATGCTTCTTTATTTTAAGTAGTCACCAAAAATTATATTACATATAGACATGCATCATATATCTTCTAGATAACACTAATCTGTTTGAAAAGCTGATGAATACCCCAAGATATTTCTGTTTGTTAAAACTGATCTATTTTAATGAGATACTGCAGAAAATTGAGAGTAACCACTTATATTTCTTTAAATGATCACAACTTTTTCACATTTCACATTCAATACATCAGGTGTCCATATTTACTATGTAAGATTAATTACACAAACATTCTACTTGGAAAAAAAAAAAAAACTCAAAATATTCTGTGATCATTTCATAAACCGACAGTCAGTATGTACAGGTCCAGATGCTCTAATCATTTCTAATATGGTATTTTGTTTTAGTAATCCTAAAAATAGGGTCAAATATCTTCAATGACGAAGCAATAGGTGTCCACAGAAGTTTTTCTTTCTTTTCCAAATAGCCTCTAAATGTCAATAGTTTTGGTGATGGTTATCTGTTCCCACACCCTCATTAGCTTTAGGTTTATCATGGTAGCTAAATCCCCTTGGACCAGAGAATTCTGACACTGTATTCTAATCTTATTTGATATTCAGGAATATATTCATTATGATACCATAATATAATTTGTAATCTAGAGACAATTTATTCATCAATTCATCACCTGAGATTTCATTAAAGTAGTTGGCTGTCTTTGTAACTTCATTCCCAAACATAGAGCTCTTTCATAGCCCTTTGTTAATCCCCTCTTAACTGTATGCCCTACTGCTAGTCTTCACTTATAAAATTATTTAAAAATGAGATATCGTTGGTCTTCACCACCATTAATGTCTTCAAATGAGATGCTCTACAAACTCTGTCCAGAATGGTTTTCTATGCCTTCTTAGATGTTGACTACCCACTTATAGGGTATTTTTGTTTTGTTTTGTTTTTTCTAATCTCATGTAAGTAGAATTGATCCCTCTTTCTATATTGTGCTGTATCATAGGTTAGGCATTGGACTCTACGGCACTTAACAACAACAGGGTTTCTAAGACTGTAAATATTTATGGAAGCAGACAGCCTCATCTTTATTCCCTTGGAGCTGCTGCTGGGTTTGAACCACTGACCTGAGGTTAACAGTCCAATACCTTATTTCCATAGGTGTAAAGGTGAGAATTTGCAGCACATAATTTTCAGTCCACTCAGTTCATAGTATCACCTGTTGTTGTATTTCAAATTCTTCAGAATCACTCATGGCTTGCAGATCTCAGCAGAGCTTCTAGGTTAAGACAGACTAGGAAGGAGGTACTTAAAATGTTAGCCACTGAAAACTTCATGAATAGCAGCAGAACATTATCTGATATACTGCCAGAAGAGAAAGCCCTCAGATTTCAAGGCATTCAAAATACACCTGAGAAAGAGATGCCTCCTCTAAGTGGAGCATGACTTTCAGGACATCTTTTGCTGATGGAGCATGACTCAAGTGAGAATAAACAGCTGCAAACATTCATTAATAATCAGAATTAGGAATGGATGAAGTATGAATCTAAGAAAGCTAGAACTCCTTAGAAATTAAATAGAACAAATAAATATTGATATTCTAGCATTACTGAACTGAAATGGACAGATCAAACACAGTAATCAAATTGACTACAGCTGTGGGCAAAAATGATGGAGAAGCTCAATGGCATCAGCCAAAAAAAGGCCAGGACATATTGTAGAAAAGATCATCAACTGCTCATTTGCAAGCTCAGATTGAGGCTGAGGAAAATTTAGACAAGTTCACAAGAGTCAAAATATGACTTGAGTATATCCCACATGCATTTAGAGACCATTTCAAGAACACGCTTGTCATACTGAATATTAAAGACTAAAGACCAGCATTTTGTGGAATGACATCAAGAACATCATACGTGAGGAATGCAAAAGATTATTTAAAAAAACAGGAAAGAAAGAAAAGACGAAAGTGGATATCAGAAGAAGCTTGATCTTGAACATAGAGAAGCTAAAGCAATTGGAAGCAATGAAATAAAGACGCTGAACCAAAGATTTCAAAGGGCAGCTCAAGAACACAAAGTGAAATATTATAAAGAAATATACAAAGACCTGGAGTTAGAAAACCAAAAAGGAAAAATGCACTCAATATTTCTCATGCTGAAATAGCTGGGGAAAAAAATTCAAACCTTGATGTGCAATATTGAAAGTTTCTGTGAAAAATATGCATAGGAGGCATCAAAAGAAGATGGAAACAATACACAGAGTCACTGTACCAAGTAGAATTGGTTGACTTTCAACATGTCAAGTGGTAACAGATGATAAAGAACTGATGGTATTAAAGGAAGTCTAATCTGCACTGACATCAGGATTGGAGGAAGACTCATTAACAAACTGCAATATGCAGATGATACAACCTTGCTTGCTGAAAGTAAAGAGGACTTAAAAATTTTACTTATGAAGATCAAAGAACACAGCCCTCGATATGGATTACATCTCAATGTCAAGAAAACAAAAATCCTCACCACTGGACCAATAAACAACATTCTTATCAATGGAGAAAAGATTGAAGTTGTCAAGGACTTCATTCTTCTTGGATCAACTATCAACACTCGCGGAAGTAGCAGTCAAGAGATCAGATGATGTATTGCATTGGGCAAATCTGCTGCACAGGAACTTTTTAAAGTATTGAACAGCAGAGATGTCAGCTTGAGGACTAAGGTGCGCCTGACCCAGGCCATGGTGTTTTCAATAGCCTCATATGGATGTGAAAGCTGGACAATGAATAAGGAAGATCGTAGAAGAATTGATGCCTTTGAATTGTGGCGTTGGAAGAGAATACTGAAAGTGCCATGGACTGCCAAAAGAACCAATAGATCTGTTTTGGAAGAAGTGCAGTCAGAGTGTTCCTTGGAGGCCAAATTAGCTAAGCTTCGTCTCTCATACTTTGGACATATTGTCTGGAGGAAACAGTCACTGGAGAAGGATGTCATGCTGGGTAAGGTGGAGGGTCAGAGAAAAAGAGGAAGACCCCTAATGAGATGGATTGGCCAGGTGGCATCATTGATGGCATCAAGTGTGGCAGCGGTAGTGAGGTTGGCCCAGGATCGGACATTGTTTCGTTCTGCTGTACATGGGGTCGCTATGAGTCAGTTCCGACTTGATGGCACCTGACAACAACAACAACAATCTGCACTGAAGTCATTAGCAAAAAACAAGGCTCTTGGAATTGACATTGTCAGCACATTGCCAACTGAAAAGTTTCAACAAACTGATGCAGTACTGAAACACTTACCAGCATATGTCAAGAAACGTGGATGATAGATACCTGACCCACCAACTGTAAGAGATTAATAACTGAACTAGTCTCAAGAAAGGTAACCCAACAGAATGCAGAAATGATTAAACAATATCATTAATATCATGTGCAAGTAAAAGTTTGCTGAAGATAATTAAAAATGATTGCAGCAGTGCATCAAGAGGAAGCTACCAGAAATCCAAGCCAGAGTCATGAGGTTATGGAACAAGGGATAGCATTTCTGAAGTTACATGGATCTTGCCTGAAAGCAGAGAACACCAGAAAGATGTTTATTTATGCTTCATTGACTATGTGAAGGCACATGACTATGTGCATCATAAAAACTATGTATAACACTAGGAAGAATGGGAATTCCAGAACACTTAAGTGTGCTCATATGGAGTCTACACATAGACCAGGAGACAGTTGTTTGAACAGACAAGGGGATACTGTGTGGTTTAAAATCAGGAAAGATGTGAATCAGGTTGTTTCCTTTAACTTTACTTATTTAATCTGTATGCTGGGCAAATAATCTCAAAAGTAGACTATCTGAAAAACAAGGTGCCCTCAGAATTGAAGGAAAATTAATTAACAACCTGATGTATGCTGATGACAGGCTTGTTTGTTGAAAGTGAAGAAGACTTGAAGCACTTACTGATGAGGATCAAAGTACACAGCCTTCAGTGTGGATTACTCTTCAATGTAAAAAACAAAAATCCTCCCAATTGGACCAATAAATAACATCATAATAAACATAGAAATGTTAAAATTATCAAGGATTTCATTTAAATGCTCAGGGAAGCAGCCATTAAGATACAAATGACCAGTCGCATTTGGAAATCTGCTACACAAGACTTCATTGAACTATTAAAGTACAACAAACATGTTATTTTGAGGACTATGATGCAGTTGACCCAAGCCAAGGTATTTTCAGTCACTTTATATGTATGGAACACTGGACAGTGAATAAAGAAGACTAGAGAGGAACTGATGCATTTGAATTATGGTTTTAAGACTATTCATAGTACTATGGATTGTTGAAATGAACAAATCTGTTTTGAACAAAGTATATACAGCCTTAGCAGTTAAGATGATGAAACTTTATATTTATTATGGACATTTTGGACTCCTGATGTGGCATTGTAGGATCAGCGCTGGACAGGGAACCACAAAATCAGAAGTTCAAACCCACCAGCCGCTCCTTGGAACCGACTCCACAACATTTAACCGGGCATTTTATCAGAAGGAGCAGCCCCTGGAAAAGGGCACCGTACTCAGTAAAGGGAAAAGTCAGCAAAAAAGAGGAAGACTCTCAAGGAGATGGACTGACACAGTGTCTGCAACAATGGACTCAAACATAGCACAATTGTGAGTATAGCCCGGACAGGACAGAGTCTCCTTTCATTATATATAGGGTTGTTGTGAGTTGAAACCAACTTGACCTCAACCTAACAAGTTTTAAGAGAAGCAATATAATTAATAACAGTATTTGGAGGGCTCTGAAAATGCAGAAGGAATAATTTACAACAGGGAAAATCTACAAGGAGTTGTAATTAGACTAAAACATTGACTTCAAAAAATGTGTTCATCACATATAACATCACACTCTTGTATAGATTTTAATAAGCAAATTGTTTAACCTTTTATTCAACAATTTACACGTTCTTCCAGGCATCTACTACATGTAACAAACCCATAAATAAACCAAAATTTTCAGCATCTTTTCAGTTCTAACACCTTTATCAGTTACATCTTTTTAATAAAAAGATAAAGTCGATAAAACTTTAAGGCCAACAAGACACAGTGTGCTTTGGATTTTTGTGTGTGTCTTTTTTCCTTAACAAGTGTTTTTTGTTCTTTAGATTTTGTTTTCCCACTTTAAATATTATCTGGTGGGGGTGGGGGTGGTGTGCAGTGGAGTCAGTTATGACTCACAGCGACCCTGCATAGGGTTTCCGAGGCTATACATCTTTATGGGAACAGAAAGCCTCATCTTTCTTCCGTGGAACAGCTGGTAGTTTCAAACTGCTGACTTTGAGGTTCGCAGCCCGACTCATAACCACTACGCTACCAGAGAGCGTCTTTACCTACTGACACCAAAATGATGCAGCTGCACTATGCTCAACAGCCAGCTCTTTGATCTAAATTGCCTTGGAAATTTTTTAAACAATACTAAATACTTAATATTTTTAATAAATAATATTAATTTTTAATAAATAAACAATATTGTCAGCACCTTACCAAATCTAACATCTTATCAGTTATACCTTTTTAATAAAAAGATATAGTTAGTAATAACTCATGATCAGATGTCTTTGTTCTTCCCAAATTGCCTCGGAGATTTTTTTTTAATATTGTAAAACTATCCTTTGAACAATTACAAAATCTGCTACACAATATATGGTGCCGTTTTACTAGTGTATTGAATGGCAAAAATGCCTAAGCATGAATTCTCTAAATACCAGAAACTATGTCAGGTGAAGTTCCCTTTAACTTTTAGGATGAATTGTTGACACCAACAACCATGCACTGTTGTGGTTATGCCACCATTCATGTCTAGAAAAAAATCACAGTAAGTCCTTATTTAAAGCCAGAAATTGAGATTTGTTGCCTTAAAGGAATTACTAATTTAATTATCATACCATGAATCACATTTCCACACTCAAAATTTAACACATTTATTTTCTATTCAAAATTTTAGCTTTGACTTAGCTAATATGCATAGCAACTAATAGTGGCTTCAATTGAAAACTTTTTATAATGACCTTTGTTCCCGTAGTTCAAATATGTTTTACAATAATTCTTTGTTGTTTCTCCTTAGGATTCAGATTTTGCAGGTCTGTCAACCACCCAACCCGAAGTCCAAATGAAGATTGTAGATACACACAACCGCCTAAGGAGAGCTGTCTTGCCATCATCCAGTAACATGGTGAAGATGGTAAGAGTCAATAATACAATAATATAAGGATAATGGCATGAACCAACTATGATAAGAGCAGGTATTTGGCAACAAGCATACCTTAAGAACTTTATGATTTATAAAGGTCTGCCACTTTTATGCTATTTTATATGAAGTATACTGTATTATGTGGCATGGTGGGTTAATGCACTGGACTCTAAGGTCAGTTTGAACTCAAGGCTGACAGTTCAAGCTCATCAGCCGCAACTAAGAAACCCTATACAGGATGGCTATGGGTCAGAACCGACTCGACGGCCCTTAACAACAACAATATTCTGAAATGGGGTAGTAATTATTAATTTCACTCTATAAATGGTGAAATAATTTGTCACAATTACAAGTCTAGTAAGTTGGGTGGTAGAATTAAACCCAAATCTTTGGACATCCAGTAAGAGGCCATTATATTTCTCTGTTCATTCTATTTCTTACTCTGGGGATCAAGAAGCCTTTTTCCATTTAGAATCAATTCCTCTTTTGTCAAATAGAAAATCAACTTGCTTTTTTTGACCCTCTACCAAAATCCCTAAGGAGCTCTGGTAGCGTAGTGGTTACGAATCTGGCTGCAAACCTTAAGGCCAGCAGTTCGAAACTACCAGCCGCTCCGCAGGAGAAAGATGAGGACTTCTGCTCCCGTAAAGATTTATAGCCTCAGAAACCCTGTAAAGGGTTGCTATGGGTCAGAACCGACTCGATAGCACTTAACAACAACAACAACCAAAATCCATGAATCTCCCTAATATATTCAGTGGAGACAAAAAGGAACTAGGAATGGAATAGGCCAAGTCATTACTACTGGAAAAAAAAATAACCATAGTATCTCCATCTGTTTATAAGATTTAAAGTAGAAACATTACTAAAATATTTTAGGTGTAGACACACTGTATTACCTATGATTATTTATAGAACAGATTATGGTACACTAAAGAAAAAAATGTTTTGAAAATTTGTGAAAATAATCAGAAGCATCTTTTTAAAAAATGTAAAAATTATAAATGATATAAATCAACCTGCCAGTCTGAATATAAGGCATATATATGCATATATATTTTCATATTGTTAAGTGCCCTTGAGTTGGAACCAACTATTAAACACCCTGTATAGGGTTTCCAAGGAGTAGCTGCTAAGTATGATCCACCGACCTCACAGTTCAAACTGACCTCATGTCACACTAGGATTCTTTACAACCAATCTGAATATAAGGCCTGAGCTCCTTGGTGGTTTGAGTTATTAAGTGCATATCTTTTTATCACACTTGTTTTAGGTTTGGGACAATGCAGCCCAAGTGAATGCTCAAGCCTGGGCAAATGCTTGCAATTATCAACACAGTGATCAAGAGAAACGAAAAACCAGTATGTACAATAATAACTATTAGTTGAATAAAATGAACAAGTAAAATAATAAGGGACCATTCTATACTGTTGCATTAGGAAAGCTTTGTGAATACATGGTGCTTATTATACAGTTTATGTGACATTTATTTCTCCATTTTAAAGACAAGAAAATGGGCTCCTGGTAGGAAAATAACTGCTAAGAACGGGCTTGGTAGTTAGAGTCGTGTACAGGAAATTTGAAATCAGACTTTTTGACTTCTACACCAGTGACCTTTTCACAATAGCATGGGTTTTAAAAACTATTTTATGTTTATAACATTTTATTTCAAAAAGGATTTTTGTTCATAAAATGGGTTGAATTTTGTTGCACCATTACTAAATTTTACTATAAAAATATTTAATGAGTTTTCATCAAAATTAATATTTATTTTACTATTATTTTATTGATTTTTGATAATAAAATCAAATATTTTATATGTTCTGAGTGCCTCAAATGCATGCAATACTCAAAAATATTAATAATAATAATTAATACTCAAAAATATTTGTAAGCTATATCTTCTATGATGTATCTATTGTTGTTGTTCAGTGCTGTCAAGTTGATTCTGACGCATAGCAACCCTGTATAGGGTATCTGAGAAGCAGGTGGTGGTTTGAATCACTGACCTTGTGGTTCACAGTCCAGAGCTGATCCTATAACACCATACCAGAAGTGACGAAATATCACATGCATGAACTGATAGAATTTGCTTGCATTATCAAAATTAACACACATATGTTGTTTTGTTGTTAAGTTGGCAAGTCCAATTTGAAGGTAGTAAGTGACTCACTTGTTTTGAAAGTAAAAGGACTGCCATTATTATTTATATATTTGATACTATAATTATAATGGATATATGAAGAGGGATGAGTATTCAGCAGAAGACTGAAAGAAAAATGGCCCAGATAATCCCAATGTACAGATAGTCTTTCTCTCGTCCTCTTAAAGGAACTACCCAAGAATAGATTGTTGTAATTGTTGTTGTTAAGTGCTGTCAAGTCTGTTCCAATCCTCAGCGACCCTATATAGGATTTCCGAGGAGCAGCTGGTGAGCTTGAACCACCAACCTTATGGTTCAAACCGATTTTGCAGTCCAGAGCATTAACCCACAGTGCCACACGAGGACTCCAAGAATTGTGTAGTAGAATTCTCTTTGTCTTGTGGGAGATTGGTTTGGATTCCCAGGTATTGTATCTCACAGATAGCTACCACTTGTATTTCAGTGGAGGTGTTAGTGTTTCTGAACATGTCTCAGTGAAATTTTCAGACTAAGATAGACTAGGAAAACAGGTTTGGAAATCTTTTTCTGAAAATCAGTCAGTGAAGACCCCATGGATCACAATGACCGGTCCTGTTGTACATAAGATCACTATGAATCAGGGGCCAACTGATGACAGCCAACAACAACAAAACAGTATGTAGACATTACATTGTAAGATACTCAAATGTGAATTTCAGTTGCAAAGCTAGAAAAAATGAAGAACTGTTCCTGGGTTAAAAGATACTTTTGGCCTAATTTCCTGAGGAAGACTTGGCTTTGTCAGTTTGAACTACAAGGTCGGCAGTTCAAACGTACCAGTCACTTCTCGGAAACCTCATACAGGGTCTTCGTGAGTTGGAACGAACTCTAAGATACTCAACAACAGTAACAACAACACAAACTGTAAAATGTCTTGCTTGCCTTTACCTTTTGACTCAAGATCTTAAAAACTGACTCCAAAGCTTTGTGTCACAGATCACACAGAATCATAACAATTAATATTTATTCCAGTATCTCTATGTGTAAAAAAAATAAAACTTTAAAAGGATGGTCAAGTGTAGGGGAGAGCGTGTCCAAAAATTGGTTTCTGCCTTCAACAAGCTTACCGTCCAAAGTTGAGAGCACACAGGCTTATACACATGAAAAATTTAACATGTAAGTAAACACATCTCTGACAATTCAAGGAAATGTAATTTTTGGACCAAGGAGGATTTCATCTACTCGAGGTTTCCATGCTGAAGCCAGCCTCAATATGTTAGCCACTACTGGGTTCTACTCAGTGGATAGCTAATAAGAATCTAAGAAACCTTCCTAATGTTTCTTAATTCTTGCAAAGTGGTAGTTTACACAGTGATTTATTTTGCCATTGTATATATTTTGCTGTCCTCATGAGTGCTCCTTTCTCCTTAGCTGTAACATGTGGTGAGAATCTCTTTATGTCAAGTGTCCCTATTTCATGGGAAAAAGTAATCCAAAATTGGTATGATGAACGCAATAATTTTGAATTTGGTAAAGGACCAACATACTCAAATGCAGTAGTTGGACATTACACTCAGGTAAGGAAAACACGTGAGTTTTTTTTGACACAAATGCCCCCCCAAAAAATGTTTTTATAAATTTTGACTAATTTCAATGTTTAAATTGGGGGTAAGATCCCTGATAGATAAAGAATAGTGCTAGTATTTGTTGTGTAGTTTAGCTAGGAACAGTCATTTGTCAGCAGTCTACAAACTCTTTGCAATGAAACATACATAATGTGCATTTAAAAAAATCTTTTAAAAATTGTGAATATACATGAATATTTTATATTTTTAAAATTTGTTATTTTAATTCAATAATTTAACTAAATATTTCTGTAAAGTATATGATGAAAAATTATATCATTAATGGTGTCTTTAGTTTATACTTGCTATAATTTGTTTATTGATTTTTCTTCTTTTCTAATGTGCTCTTATTTTGGGTATGTAGGTTGTTTGGGCCACATCATCCAGTGTTGCATGTGGATTTAGTTACTGTTCCAATCAAGCCAAGCTAAAATATTACTATGTTTGTCAGTATTGTCCTGCGTAAGTATACATTTAGAGTTCAATGCCAATGATGTCATTTGAAGTTTTAATGTTTAAAATATCTCCTAAAATAAACAAATCAGAATACAAACCATGTTTCAATAAGAGGGGTGAAGCATTGTCAATGTTTGCTTGGATTGAGACATTTTCAGTTTCTAAGAAAAAAGACTAACTTCTCCGTTCCTAGTGCAAAATTCAAAGCTTATCTATCCTCAAGTCTAAAAATGATAGGTTTTCATTCTCAATAATAATTCCTTAGTCTCTGGGTTTCTCCATGAATACGTGTAGTGTACATTTACCTATATTTGGTATAATAATCTCTTGCTAAATTCACACTCAACAGAAGTGTGGCTTGATGGTTAAGCAGAATTAGAGGAAGAAAAGGAAAGAGCAAATAGGGAATAATATACTTTAGAGGTTCCAATTCTTTCTGTTCACACTCAAGCTTATCTGAAAGTGCTGTATTATTGTCATTTAAAATGATTAAATCTTAGACTTAAAAAAAAAATCCTTAATATATTTTAGATAGTCCAAAGAAAGAAAACATTATGCATCTTTGCTTCTTAGAGTTTTTAAAAGACAAACCCATAATTAAACATATACCATTAACGTTTTTTATTTTTAGGTAGAAACTTGCCACCTCAAGCTATGTGTTCACATTCATTCACAAAAGATCCAATAGATACACTGAAGATATGTCTATGATGTTAATTTTAATTACTTTAATGTTTTAAATTTCTTACCATGGGAGCCAGGTATTGTTGTCAAGAGCCATTAAGTTGGTACCAACTAATAGTGACCCTGTAAGGGTTTCTGAGGAAGACTTCTGGGTTTGAACTGTCAAACTTGCAGTTAGCAGTCCCATACTTGATCCTAGAGTGTCACACCCTGGGAGACAGGTTTTTGTGGTTGTTAGGTGTCATCGAGTCAATACCGACCCATAGCGACCCTATGCACAACAGAATGAAACATTGCCCAGTCCTGGGCCAACCTCACAGTTGTTGCTACATTTAAGCCATTGATGCTACTACTGTGCTAATCCATTTCGTTGGGAGTCTTCCTCTTCTCTGACCCTCCACTATACTAAACATAATATCCTTTTCTAAGCACTGGTTCCTCCTGATATTTATGAAATATGATAGATGAAGTCTGGAAATCCTAGTTTCCAAGGAGCACTCTGTCTATACTTCTTCCATCATAGATCTATTTGTTCTTTTGGCAGTCCATGGTACTTTCAGTATTCTCCTCCAACACCATAAATCAAATGCATCAATTCTTCAACGGTCTTCCTTATTCACTACTCACTTTCACATATATCGAAGGTTATTGAAAATACTATGCCTTGTGTCAGGCACACCTTGGTCCTCAACAACATCTTGGTCCTCTTCAACACTTTAAAGAGGTCTTGTGAAGCAGATTGCCCAAGGCAACACATCATCGGATTTCTTGACTGTTGCTTCCATGAGTGCTGATGGTTGATATGAGTGAAATGAAGTCATTGACAACTTCAATCTTTTCTTTTATGTGAATACTATTTATTTAGTCCAGTGGTGAGGATTTTTATTTTCTTTACATTGAGGTGCAACCCATATAGAAGGCTGTAGTTTTTGATCTTTATCAATAAGTATTTTAAGTCCTCTTGGTTTTCAGCAAGAAAGCTTGTATCATCTGCATATCACAGATTGTTAAAGAGCCTTCCTCCAATCCTGATGCCACATTTCTCATCATATAATATAACTTCTCTGATTATTTGTTCAGCATACATAATGAATAAGTATGGTGAAAGAATACAACCCTGGCACACACGTTTCCTAATTTAAAACCAATTGGTGTTGCCTTGTTCTGTTTGAACAAGTCTCTTGGTCAATATACATGCCGGTTCCTCAGCATGAGCACTATTAAGTGTTCCAGAATACTCATTCTCTACATGTCCATAGTTTGGCATGATCCACACAATTGAAAGCCTTTGTGTAGTCAATAAAGCACAAGCAAACATATTTCTAGTATTCTCTGCTTTCAGCCAAGTTCTATCTGACATCAGCAACGATAGCCCTCGTTTCATGTCCTCTTCTGAATCCAGCTTGAACCTTTGGAAGTTCTCTATCAATGTATGGTTGAGGCCATTTTTGTATTACCTTTGGTAAAGTTTTACTAACATGGGCTATCAATGCTATTGTCTGATGATTTCCACATTCTGTTGCGTTGCCTCTCTTTGGAATTGGCACAAATACAGATTTGTTCCAGTTAGTTGGCCAGGCAGTTGTGTTCCAAATTTCTTGGCATAGATGAGTGAGTACATCAAATGGCCCTTCACTTTGTTGAAAGATTTCAATTTTTATTTCATCAATTTCTTGTGCCTTGTTCTTTGCCAATGACTTCAATGCACCTTGGACTTCTTCCTTCAGGATCATTGGTTCTTGATATGCTACCACTTGAAATGGATGAACATTGACAATTTCTTTTTGGTACAGCGACTGTGCATTTCTTCCATCTTCTTTTGATGCTTTCTTCATCATTCAGTATTTTTGCCATAGAATCCAATACTGCAAGTCGAGGTTTGAATTTTTTCTTCAGTTCCCTCAGCTAAAGAAATATTGAGTGTGTTCTACCCTTTGGGTTTTCTAACTCCAGGTCTTTGCATATTTTGTTATAATATTCAACTTTGCTTTTTTTTGAGCTGACCTTTGAAATTTTCTGTTCAGCTCTTGTATCCCCTCACCTTTCCCATTTGCTTTAGCATCTCTATGCTGGAGAACATCCATTTTGGTTTTTCCTTCTCCTTTGTCTTCTAAATGACTTTTTGCTTTCTTCCTTTATAATGTTCTTGATGTCATTCCACAACTCTTTTGGTCTTCAGTCTTTAGTGTCTAATAAATCAAATCTGTTCTTCATATGATCTGAAAATTCAGTTGGAATATATTTAAGGTCATATTTTGGCTCTCATAGACTTATTTTCATTTTCTTCTGCTAGGACCTCCAAAACCAAGCTTCCTGTCTGATTTATTTTGAGTCTGTTGATAATCCAGGGGATATGGATTTTGATTTTAAGAAGTGTGTTCTTCAAAGTCATTTTTAAGAAAGCAGCTATGGAATTTAGTACAAATAATTGAAAGATACTAAGAGTATATGCATACAAATGCAATGCTTCTCTGTGAAATGCAATGCCTCTCTGTGATATGAAGTGAAAAATGGAAGGAATAATGAGGAAAAGTAGAAGTAAGAAAACCTTCAGAATGTATGTTTATTTTACATTATTTTCTATATTGTAATCCTTCAGCCCCAGGGAACTTCTCCAGTCTCTCAGGGCTGTGGGCCTCCCCTACACTCCCTTAGCAATTTTACCTAATCTACTTGGAGTCCGGGTGTGGCACTGTGGGTTAATGCTCAAGACAGCAAAGTTGGTTTGAACCATAAGGTCTGCAGTTCAAGCTCATCAGCTGCTCCTTGGAAACCCTATACAGGGTCAGTCATAGTGACCGACTACGGGTCAGAACTGACTTGACAGCACTCAACAGTGACAGCAACAACTGGAAGTGATAGAACATGTGGCTCTGTTGAATATATACTCTGAAAACTTGAAATACTAGTTATCACATTCTATTGCCTCACCCATGGAATTATAATATTCAAGGAGATGAATGAATGTGTGAAATATTTTCTTACTTTGAATTATCATCTAACTTATACATTAGGAATGTGTGTTTGTTTGTTTTAGTTAGTCAGCATAATTAAACACAATGAGTAAATATGCATGAATATTTAGTGACAGATATTACACTAGAAACATAAACTAAAGAGAAAAGTAAAAAATATTTGACATTTTGTATTTTAAATTTCAGCGGTAATTATGTAAATACAAAGAATACCCCTTACTTACCAGGAATACCTTGTGCCTCTTGCCCTAATTACTGTGACAATGGACTATGCAGTAAGTTTGAAATAATTTAATTTGCTATTTTAATCAAATATGATATTTCTTTTCAAGAATTAATAAACCTTATGAAAGCAATCAAAGTAAGCAATGTTTTCATGCAAAAGACAAAATAATTACTCAATAGAGTGTATCTAACCAAAAATTATATACCATGCAGTGTCTATGTATTACCGTCAATTAAAAAAACATGTTTCCATAAGTAGCTTAAAGAAAGATCTTCCGTTCATGTGCATAGTGACTATGTTGAGCTTATTATATATTGGTTTATATGAAAATATCTGTGGGAATGGTTAATTACAATTAAATGAAATGATACATCTCATTAAAGTTTGTGTCATTATACAAAAGCGATATTAAATTTTTTAAAAATATTTATAAATCTAAATATGTGAGGCAATAAATTATGGTTTCATATAGGCAGACACACAAAATACTACATTTTTTTTTTTTTTTGCTACAGACTTTATCATACTGAAGTCTTCATTTTTCCAAAATAGTGTAGTTAGAATCTATAATTTAACTTAATAAATTTCACTTCCACTTTTGTTTGCTAATATATATATATTTAAATATCACTATCAAAATTTGCATAGCGTTAGCTTGCAGAAGCCTCAACAATATTTTAACCAACAACAATAACAAAAAAAGAAGTAAAATAAATAGCTCATTAGTTTTGTTATCAATAAAAATTCAAATCATTGATAGCTTTGTTTAGTTGTACTATGTTTATAAAATTATGAATTATTAAAATATAAATTTTTGCGAACAATATAGTTGACCTACTCACTGAGCTTTCACCTTTCAAATGCAGTCCTCTGAAGTTAGTATTCTTTATGACTGAATTGTATAGGTTTAATTTAAAGTATTGGTGTTATCAAAATAATAAATCAACTAAGGGAGATAAAAGTAGTGTGCAGAAATAATTAGATACAGAAATAATTGGACGTAAACCAATTCTGAGATTGTTGAAACACATGGATTAAAAAAGAAAGAAAGAAAAAAGGGGGCATTTTTATTGTACTGTATTATTAGCAAACTGTATTTTGAATAAAAATAGATTAGAAGTAGGGGGAATTGGTGTAGCCCATGTTTATTACCTGTGCTTTCTAGTGCTGGTAAAAAGGAAAGGGAAAGGAATACTTCCTGACTTAACCAAGGTGTCACCAAGTTTCCTTAGTTGAAAGAACTAAGTAGTTGTTAATTCCATTTTACTGGATTAAGTGAATTGAGTGGGGTTAAGGAAGATGTGGAAAAAAAAAAAAAAAAAGGTCAGGACTATAGATAAGATTATGAACTAGTTTGATATTGTTTGTGTCTGTGATCTCTGAATGACGTTCAAACGGAAATGTCCAAAAAAATCATAAAGACATTCATTCCTCCTTTTATGTCTTTGCTTCCTTATCTTTAATATTCAATAAAACTTTCTGCAATGGTGGAAATGTCATACATTTTATTCTTCTCTGAAATAGCCTCCACATATATTGGCTATTGAGAACTTGACATTTAATTAATGCAGCCAAGGAAATAAAGTTTTAATTTTATTTGAACTTAAATTCAAATAGGCATGTATGGTTAGTGTCTACCATTTTGGATAGCTCAGCACTAGAGAGATTCAGTTGCATTCATTTTACTCTGTTTTGATTGAGATAGGTCAACTTATTTTAGAAAAATTTCAAAAAGTTGTAATTTAAAAAGAAGAGATGGCTTATTCAGTACATTTAGCTAAAATACTTTATTTTCTCTCATGAGATGAAATGTCCATCAGAGTGTAAACTTGCCAATTTGTCTCTCAATGACCTTCTCCCCATTCAAATTAAATTTATTGCTTGTACTGCTGTTCTAGAATAAAATGATAATAAAGTAACTAAATTCTTTGCTTTTATTTCAGCTAATGGTTGCATTCATAAAGACGATTATACTAACTGTAAAATATTGAAGAATATGGTCAGCTGTCAACATGACCTGGTCAGACAAAATTGCAAAGCCTCCTGCAATTGCGAAGACAAAATTCATTAAATACCTAATATACACTGGATAAGGCTAAGGGGATAAGGGCCACCTCATCTACTTAGATATGAAATGCACTGGTGGTGCTGTAGGATAAGCACTGAATTGTTAACCACAAAGTTGATGTTTCAAACCCATCAGCTGCTCCTTGGAAACCCCATACAGGGTTGCTATGAGTATGAAACAAGTCAAAGGCACTTAACAACAACAAACTAGGAAATTCAGGAGCCCTGATGGCACAATTTTAAAGCAGTCGGTTGTTAATGGATTCCTCATGAGACAGATGAGTCTACTTCCTTAAACATTTACAGCCTTGGAAATACTCTGAGATAGTTCTACTCTGTCCTACAGGGTCACTGTGAGTCAGAATTGACTCAAAAACACTGGGTTTCATTTTTTGGCTGTTGTGTGTGTGTGTGTGGTTAGCAGTGAAATTGTAGGCAATTTAGTTACAATTTGATTCCAAACAATAATGGATATTTTTCTCTTGGAATCATTTCTTTGCAAAATACTCCCAAACACACAAAAAACATTATTTTAAAGTTACATTATATATAGTAACATCATTATGTTTTGATAGAAATTTGTATTCTTGTTAAGTGCTATGGAGTTGGTTCCTATTCATACTGAGCCTGTACAGTGTTTCCAAGGCATAGTTGATACATTTGAACTGCTGACATTGTGGTTCACAGTCCAGTGCTGATCCTTCAGCACACCAGAAATTTAGTGATTTAAAATTAATGATTTTAATCAACTGGATGATTTTGTATTTCCTTATGACTGAGATTACTGTGGTTGTTAAGTGCCATGGAGTTGGTTCTGACTAAGAGTAACCCTGTATAGAGTTTCCAAAGAGAAGCTGGTGGGTTTGAACCAGGGACTTTGTATTTAGCAGTCTAGTGCTTATCCTACAGAGCCATACCAGGTCACTAGACTAAAACTGAGAATTATGTTCCTGACTTTATAAAATTTATTTTTAAAAAACCAGACTATGACAGCACTATCAGGTGGATCCTGGGTTACAGCCTTCTTTCCTATTTCTACTTTGTAGCTTAAATATGTTCCAAGAAGCAATTACATCTTCTGTCTTTAATTCCTTTTCTGTCATTTATCCTTCTTCACATTCATCAGGCTCCCACCCTTACAATCAAATTTACTTCTTTCTAATATTATGCTGATATTCTCTTTTTGCCAAAATCAATGAAGACATTGAATTCTTCACCAGCATGATTTTTACAAAAAAATGTGACAATTCCCGCTTTTTAAATTTCTTTCCCTTTGACAAATCTTCCTTAAAGAATTGCAAATAACATGTGTAAAACTCTCCCTCCCGCCAAAATAGACTTTAATACCTTCTTTCTCTGAGTGCGGGCAAGTTTTAGAGATTTATTTCTAAATAATAGAGTATGGAAAATGAATAATAGTAATTTTACAGTGGAGAAATCTGGCAAAATCTACCCAAAACAAGTGGTTTAACATTAACAATGATAAATCTTATGGCCTCATGTACCACTTGGCATGATGTGACTAGAAAGGCATTTAACCTTTGTGGCATCCATCCTAAAAATGTGGTGCCTCAATCTAACCAAGAGGTAGAATACCAGAAGACCCAAATTTACATTCATTATAAGCACACCTCAAAACTTTCAAAAGTATGAAGCACAGAAATTCTGAGAAACTGTCACAGACTAGAAGAAACTATGGAAACATGAGACTAAATTGCTATGTGGTCCTGCTGGGTTAGAGCCTAGAACAGAAAAAGACTATTCATTAATGGAAAAATTCATGAAATGTGAATCATCTGAAAAATTTTCATAATAATGTTGATCTTTTTAGAAGAAATATAGAAGAAAATACCATGGTAATGTATGATGAAAACAGTAGAATCAATTGAAACTGGATGAGAAGTGTATTGGAACGCTCTGTAATATCTCTGCAAATTTTCTGCAATTAAAAAAAAAATTACAAAATAAAATTTATGTTTAAAAAACAGTTTTTCTCTTGGCTCCATACACTACATATAAGTACTTTCTCTAGAGTCTCTGGTCATTCTTTCTCCGTTTAGTTCTCTACATGTATCAACTCTACTTCATTTCTAAATGTTTGATTTCTTTACCTTTTTCATGGACTCTCAAATAATACCAGTGATTGCATTGTCAAGCCCAGCTTAACATGAATCACAGATCTTATCTAATATTAAGCTTTAATAATAATTTCAAGAATATTTCTACACACAAGGGAAAGAGAAAACAGGGAGAAGCCCAAGATAACCGATCACTCACAGATGGTTTTATTGTTTTGTTTTTCACAGCGTCTGTTATCCCTATTTTTATTGTAGTTAGCTTTCTTCAAGTTGGGTCTGACTCATGTACTTACCCTATGTACCACAGAGTGAAACATAACTTGGTCCTGCATCGTCCTCACAATTATTGCTAAATATAAGCTCACTGCTGCAGTAACTTTGCCAATCCATCTTGTGAATGATATTCTTCATTTTCTCTGACCCTCAACTTTACCAAGCATGATGTCCTCCTCCAGGGATTCTTCTTTCCTGATAACATGCCCAAAGAACGTGAGGTGAAGTCGTGCCATCTCAGTTTCTAAGGAGCATTCTGGCTACACTTCTTCCAAGGCAAATGGGTTCATTCTTTAGTTGCTGTTCTTGTTGTATGACATTAAGTTAGTTTGACTCATAGAGAACCTGTGTATGGTTTCTGAAGAGCAGCTGGTGAATTTGAGGCACCAATCTTGTGATTAGCAATGCAATGCTTATCCTACGCATTAGGACTTCCATCTTTGGTATTCCATGGTATATTTCATATTGTTCACCAACAATATGTTTATGTTTAAGCATATTGTTGCTGAACAATATGAAATATACCATGTCAATTGTTCACCAACAATATGAGTACCCAGGTCTTGCCACACTGCTGGCCAACCAGGTCTTCACCTGGGTTCACAGAAGTCTATTGAACATTGTAAGTCTTAGCTTGCAGCTGCATTGCTGTTATTCCCTCACTTCCACTTGTCAGTGATGAGCATGGTCACCAATCAGAGTGTGTATTCCCATTGAGACTTAGTCTTGGAAGGGGGCCATATTCTGATTTTTCATGGATGTTTGCAGCTGTTTCTCTTCATTTTGAGTTGTGACCCATCAGCAAATGAAGGTCCCATGGGCTTTTCTTCCATGGGCTTTACTCCATTCACGTCATCATGGTAAACTCTCCTTTGGGGAGTTTATCCCAGTCACACTTTGAGTGGCTTTCAACCTGAGGGGCTCATTTTCCAGCACATATCTGACAGTGTTTCTCTGCTATTCATAAAGTTTTCAGTGACTAAAGATTCGGAAGTAGTCACTCCTTCTTCCTAGTCTGTCTTCGTCTGGAAGCTCATCTGAAACTTCTCCACCATGGGTGAACCTTGCTGGTATTTAAAATACTGGTGGCATAGCTTTCAGAATCATAGCAACTCGCAAGCCACCACAGTATGACAAACTGACAGATGAGTGGTGTAATCATCACAATATGAAATACTATATTTAATTGCTTGCTTACTGCATTAATTCCTGCATATAACAAACATTGATGAAGACAATTATGCACTGCTGTCAACTCAATTCTGACTCATAGTGATCCTAAAGGACAGAGTAGTACTGTCCCATAGGGGTTCCAAAGATGTAAATCTTTACAGAAGCAGACTAACGTATCTTTCTACCAAAGAACAGTTAGTGGGTTCAAACTGCCAACCATTTGGTTAGCAACCAAGTGCTTTAACCATGGTGACACAAGGGCTCCTTTTGGAAGGCAATTAGGACTCAGATATTTACTCAAACACTTTGAAATAAAGTGATAAATAAAATTAAATTAAATCCACTACTTGTCTGTCATTTTGTCCTGCTGTCGTGACTTGAGTGTTGTGATGCTGGAAGCTATGCTACCGGTATTTTAAATATAAACAGATTACCCATGGTGGACAGAGTTCAGCATATCTTTCAGATTAAGGCAGACAGGAATAAGGAGAGACAGACAACTTCTGGGAAAGATTAACCCCTAAAAATCTTATGACTTCCGGCGCTTCCCTGACCAGGCAGCACAGGTACGCGGGCTCCGGAGAAAACGGGGGTGGTATTGCACAGGAGAGGCCCCCGCCTGGTAGACAGACAGCCTTTGGGCAAACATAAAACATTAGGTTTTAACATTATGAGCTTGCTTTTTAAAAAAATCAAACTGCTGAGGAGTTACAAGCATTTTTAGCTTCCACACCCCTGCACTCAGCTCCCACCCTGGGGATTGCCCCACCCATTGTAAAGCTTGGAGTGCAGGGCTTGAGCAGACCCATTCAGAGGGCAGACGCTCCCAGAGAGCTAGCGGGGCCCCAGGAACTAGCATGGTCCATCCCAGTGGGGTCCTCATTGCCACGTTGGGCATTGTCGGCGTAGATATGGGGCCAATTGGGGTGCTCATGGCACAGGGAGACAGAGAGAGGCATTTTAGACATCATCAGACACAGCCACGCCATCTGCCTGAAGCACTACCCCCTCACCCCACTCTTTCGGCCTAGGCCAGCCCTCTGCCCAGCCTCCAAGCCTCAGGCCCACCCATCAAGGCGCAGGCCAGCCCAAGCTGAGGCGCCCTTGACTAGTTGTTTACCACCAATAACAAAGCAGTCCTGCTGTGGCTTTGTGGGTTAATGCACCAGAATACAAAGCCTTTTGAACTGCAAGGAATGTGATTCGAGCTCACCAGCTGCCCTTTGGAAACCCTATACTGGGTC